ATTGACTAGTCAATAGTTCTCTGGGTTCTGTTCCCTGCCTCCTTTTTTTTTTGGAAAAGAAAAAAGCATTTCCCCTTTTAGGTTATTGGTTCTTCCCCCCCCCCCCCCCAAGATTTCTCAGAGGCGATAGAAGTTCAGCCATGTGCTTCGTTTTCTCCCAATGTTCCCACTCCTGCTATGACATTTATTGAATTTTTCCTGTTGCTTAGGATCAAAGCTGCTGTTAATCCATCTTCTGAAGGAGAAAGAGATCAGAGATTCCCTGGACAGACCACTTACATAGCTTCTAACAAAATTTTAGACTAATTAAAATTCCCTTTTACTACTTAATATGCCTTTGATAGATGTGCAGTTTTCTTTTGGAAAATGTATCTTCTCTGTGGCTGGGTAGTTAGTAGTTAGCACTAGTAGAGCTATTGCTTTTTTCTGCCTTCTGCTTATTTTATCCTGGAGCTCTGTACAGTGCCCCCCAGGTGATTCCCTAGGATGCCTACAAACGTGGTTATCTTTAACAGTTTAGTTCCTTGGGCCTTCCTAGTGTTACAGTTTCTTTCTAAGCTGTGCCACTTGTTATGCCTTCCATTTTTTCTTGAAAGTCCCATCTTTTTTCTTTGAAAGAAAATTTAAAAGTTAATTCACATGTGCATTCATCGCTTGGTATCATTTCCGTTAGTTTCTCAGTACTGCCTGGCTGGCAGCTGAATGTGTGAATCATACCTGCTAAAACGTTTGCATTTGAATGATTGCTCAATGTTGCACTTCGAGATACGATTACATGGGTGAAAAGAACGATTGTGGGCAGTGCCCATCTCCATCTGTCTGCTTCTCAGGTGTATCTGCTGGAAAGATAGGTTGTCTCTGGAAGCTGTTTTTTGTGAATTTGCTTCCAGAATAGTGAGTGTTAAAAATGCATGTATATGGCTAAATCCTGTGTCCTTTCTTTCTATGTGTCAAGGATAGAATGGAATAGAAAATATATCCATAGAATCCAGGGTTGGAACTCATCAAATAGGCCACCACCCCTGCAAGTATAGAAATCCTGCAATATGCTATAGAAGTCTGAAGCACTTTATATATTAATGTTGGTTCTTACATAGATTGGTACATTGATATAAAGTTGGACATTCTTTACAGTTCCTGTGGAGGTGAACTGTGAAATGCTGGCTTTGATAGCGTATGTCCTAGCACCACTATGGGCAGAAATTAAATGTTATTAGAATGTGGGGCTCCTACCAAAAATGGCAGCTCTTCCTCTCTACTTTGGGCTCTCTTTTCCCATCATTGGATGTACATGGGAAGGAGGACAAAAAATGAATACTGGGATGGTGTCACCTTCTTTGTGTCCATTATGGAAAGATGAATAGGAACAACTTGACAAATACTTGTCTATTTTGGCTCCTGCCTCATTTTGGATACCATCTATGATACCCTTCAAATTGTTTGCAAATCATTGTGTGTCTCACTAGACCATGTAACATGCTGTATGGGAATTCTTGACATTGCAGTCATATCAACTTTGGAAAAGGTTGCAGTATATCACAACAATCAAATATGATGGATTCTTGCTGATAAATATAATCAATAGCCTCTGTACTCTTAAAATTCCTTCTATGATTTTATTACAAATCTCTTTTCTTTGTCTGGGAGTGCCTTTCCCTGTTCTACTTTGCATCTAAAGAAAATATCAAAGGCTGCTGCTTTGCTTCTTGCTCCCTGTTGAGGTTATTAATGAGCAAAAGAAGTGCTGACTAACACTCTCTGGCAACAGTCTGGAGGTGTGATACATCAGGAAAGGAACAGATCCTTTAGAGAAACAGCATTTGTTTAAAGAGGCAGGAGTGGCAAGAAAAGGGGTTATTTGTGAGAGCTAATATGGAAACACAGCTCATCATTGTGAATCACAACCATTTAAATTGTGTGTTGGGCTGGGGGTTGAGGGGGAGATCCAGATAGGAAATACTGTTCCAGTATATACTTATAAAAGGAGTGTACCTTAGTAAACCTTCAGCTGGTCATTTTCTACAAGAAGAATGTTTCTTCTCCTTTCCCCCCCTGCCCATTAGGTCACTCAGTTTAATTCCAACAGAGAGCAAAGAACAGTAAAAATGCTGGTATTGTTCATTCCTATCACTTAACTGCATGATGCTCAAATTT